CGGCCGAGCAACTGAAGCAAACAGCAGTTACTGATGTGGGTTTGGGCTTTTTTTTTCCAATTCTTAAAGGCTTCTAGGCTTTGAAGTCAGAATTAGGTCATGGTCACACCCCAGTTACGCTATCTGGTACTTATGGACTGAGATGTTATAATAATTTTTTCGCACATGTATAACCTAATCGTGTTGCAAGTGCCGTAAAACTCTTACTAAAGGTAAAACTATAATAGTTTTAGTCTAGCCATTACCTCGTGAGCTATTCATCTTCTATTTTTTTACGCAACTTTTGAGGAAATTTTTAAAAAATAATTTGTACTTTTATTGCTCTATAACGTATCGCGTTCTTACTATGCCCTCGAAATGCTTGACTTAGATCTCAGCCTACGCTGTCTTAGATCTAAGAAAGACTAGATCTCAGCCTATTGATTTGCGAACGCCAGTTTAGTTTTGGAGTTGTGACACCATTTAGCATTCAAAACAAATCTCAAAGAAACACGTTTCAGAGTTTAGGAACAAATGCTGCGTTCTGTAAATAAAAACCGTCTCTGGTGTCACTTATACACTGGTGAGATGTAAGTACAGTAGGGCATCAGGTACACATTTTTTCCATGGTTGGCGGATGCTCGATCTGGTGTGTTTTGCTACCTTTTCCTCAGCAAGCGCAATTTATCGTCCCGCACTCCTCCTTTTTTATTTATCCGTATGTTACTCTTTCGTAGTATCTAATCGCTAATCTTCGACACTTATTTTTTATGGCCTATTTGGGTTGGAATGCCTTAAAACCCTCACTAATACTAAAACACTTTTTTCTTTCCAAAGACTCAGCTTGATCCCTATGAATCATGGGTTAAGGCTTTTGTAGAGGAGAGATTTCTTTTCTCTAGGCTGAGGGCTTGGTTTGTTTATTTGTCTGTTTGTTTGTTTGCTAGTTTTTTTTCTTTGTATTTGAAGAGGGAGGGGGGAGGGTCTTGGGGAGGGGGGGGATTTTGCGGCGTTAATAACTGCATAAAGTCAAACGAGTGTGCAGGAAACATGCTGTTTTTGTATTTTTTAACTGTTAGTTCATAGTACCGCTATTTTTTTTCTTCTCCAAAGTAGAATTAATGGTTGAATTATCCAAAATACAAAGTAAGGATTTAATTCTTTAAACGGAAATGTACATTATAAAATAACAATATTTACATCTTTATGTAAAGACCAATGGTAGTTATAAAAGCTACAATTCTGTTGGGATCAACGATGGAGAACCAATTCTTTAAATTAGTACGTGTAGAATAATTTTCTTTGGGTCTATCCAAAATAAAATTCAAAACTCCGGACATTCTATTAAGATTTGCCTGATAAGAAAAAATCGGTGTCGCATCCCTTTTGCTTATATGAGTCCAATATTCTTTGTACCAGTATTAATGAGGTCATATCGAACTAAAAAAAAAAAAAAAAAAGGATAAAAAGAAAACAGATAGGACAAAAGATGGAAAATACGAGTATTATTATAATTATATACGTGGTGAGATGGTTAGTCTCTTTACTCTACAGGCAACTCACTTGAGTTCCATTATCATTTTACGACTATTAGTATCTTCCACGTATTGCTTTTGTTGTAGTTAACACAAGTCAAGTTGAGCCAAACAGAACGAAACCAAGTCTTCAGTTCCCTGAATCATCTAAATCGTATTGACAAAGGCGTAAATTACGAGTATATCAAAACTCAGTACTCAGTATTGCTGCTTTGAGAAAAGGACAACTTTGACTACCTCAGGGCAAGGTTTCCATAACGACAAGCATGTATCGAGAGAATACTAGCTAGTTTCTTCATGTACCCCCCCCCCCTTCTACGAATGAAGACTACAGCGGAAACGAAGGGAACAAGTTGAGGACAACTAAGGACTTTGCAGGAGAATAAAGTTAAAAACAAACAAACAAACAAAAAATAAGAAGATTATTGAGTTCAATATTTGTTTACTATCCAGGACTCTCCTGTAAAAAAAGTGAAATAAAATAGATATGCTAAACAAACTGATGTATGGTCAAACATTTTTCCAGCTATACACATATCATATAATGGCAATGTGCTGTTGCAGAGCTTAGCTGGCTCACGCAGAAAATCCCAATTCGATTCCCGTGAGGGGAGAATATTTGAACAAGCATCTCGATCTTTCTTCTTGGACGTTCTATCCTTCTAGGCTCGAGATTGCCCCGACAGGAAGAGTCAAACCCATCTTCTAGATTATTTAAACGGTGTCAATGAGAGCGTAAAACATCAACGTTAACAATAAATAGATAGAAAAATATTTAGAAAATGAAAATAACCCATTGTAATTTTTTTTTCGTTTTTTGTTTAGCTTAACGCCTTTTACGTCCATTTAAAAACACTCTCCTATGTGGATATTTCTTTAGAAACACGTTTATCAAAAGCAAAAATAATGCATATTCGCAGTCTCTAAGAACGCTCAAGCTTTCGAAATCACCAAACTTTGGTAGTCATTTTTTCGCTCATTTCACCTTTGACACAAAGCGACCCACACCTCCTTCAATCGCAAATAAATCGACTTTTATTTATGACCGATGGGATTCTTTACACCAAAAGCAAGATAACGGAACAGCAAGGGCGAATTCTGACGTGTTTGACAAGGTAATCAAAGTGAGACAAAGAACCAGTTAAAATTGAGTCCACACATGAAAAACTTTCCTACAACAGGGACATACTTAATAAAACTTCTTTTTCGAAGCGGCATCACTGAGTTAAATATGGTTTCTCAAGAGACTGCTGAGAATATCGTGGAAGGAAAAGAAATCAAATGAAGTAGTGCTTGATGAAGCCAACGTGGAACTCTCACTGTTAAAAACAACTAGGAAACGACAAATTAATGCAGTTTTTGGGACACCTGAATAGACATAAAGGTCTTGAACATCTAGCTCTCACTGGCAAAACTAAACGCAAAAGGGACAGGGGTAGACCCAGAGCAACCTACTTAGGGAACCTAAACAAATGGGTAACGGGGAAAGATCCGGGAAATGTAGCTTTTTTAAGAGCATCCGAGCAAAGGAATGAATGGAGAACCTTGATTGTCGATGTCTGCCGCAGATCTGGCACTGGATTAATGAATGAATCACTGAGTTGTGAATGAAAACAAATCCTGTATGTTCGACCATCAAAGTAATTGAGAAAAGATCTCCTTAAATAGTTATTCCCACTTTTGGGAAACCATAATTAAAGCCTATTTCCAAACGTGCTTTTGGAATAATGGTCTAAAAATGTTGAATAGTTGATGTACGAATAACTAACGATGTGAATAGACAAACAGAAGGCAAAGAAGCAGAGACAACAATTCTACAAATGTATTAGAAATTTCGTTTCAAATCTGCCTGTCTTTTCTAGCCTTTCGTGGCCAGCTACCGATGCCAGAATCTGACTCTTATGTCAAATAAAACACCAAAATTTCTCATGAGATTTATACATTTTTAAGGTAGACTACTAGTCTAAATGTTAGCTTACATATTCAGTGCTTGTAACTGCTTATGGAAATGGCCCGAGAGGGGTGAAAAGGATATCTATTTGGCAAAGGAACAGTTTCGAGTGTTGCGCTTACTGCTCATCTCTACATAATATATTAGTGAAAATCCGTCACTTTAGCCGCCTAAAACTTCCGAACCACTTAACTTTCGAATTTGACAAAATTAATGGTGGTTCAGAATCATTTAAAGAGTGCACAGTTATAATATGGAGTATGAAGTCACTGTAGTTTAATTTTTGGTTTTTCATTAGTTTCATTTAAATCTAACCTTGGGAAAGTGCGTCTTCTAAAACGCCATTCTTTTCTAAACAAGCGAGGCTTTCTTTCTTCAAAAGCAGTGCACATTGGTTCGACAAAGGCTTGACGATCGATTCTTTTGAGTCCGTTCGTTGAAGAGAGTACTCAGCTTATATTATATCAATTTTGTGAAAAGTCGTCACTTTGGGTGCCTAAAACTTCTGAACCAATCAACTTTTGAATTTGACAAAATTAATGATGTTTCAGAATCATTTAAAGGGTGCACGGTTTTATTTAGGAGCCTGGAGTCACTGTAGTTTAATTTGCAATTTTTCGTTGGTTTCGTTTAGATCTAATATTGGGAAAGTCCGTCTAAGACGCCATTGTAAGCAAGTGAGGTTTCCGTTCAGTAGCCGTGCGTACTGCTTCCACACCTTTGAAATTCTGGAGTGCACAACCACGAAAGTGGAATCTATGCATCTATTATATATTTGGCAACTTGGAAACTCATGTGTCACTTTTCTCTCAAGATTTATTGCTCCATTCCTATAGCCTGTACTAAGACAATGACTTTCAGTTGAGGTGAACACACCGATCATTCCTTTCATCGAATGGGGGCCCAGCTAGTTTGTTATAATTTTGCGAACGTCTCTTCAAATTTTCTGCAATAAAACACTCTATCTCTTGCCATTCTGCCTCCTGGGGGTGTTTGCATCCACGGCAGGTTTGTAGGTCTTATTACCATCTTCTGTTAAGTTTTCTCCTTCCTCTCTAGCCAGCCCGATTACAGAAGTATAATTGTCTCATATTGATAGCCAAGGTGAGTGTTAAGGTGTGAATGGTCGATATCAACCTGGATAGACCACAGATTCCTTAAATATATCTAACACAAGATACAGAACCAACACACCGTGTTGACCATAAGCAGTAATACCTATACCGACTTCCTTTTATTGGAGACCCTTCCTCCAGCATGAGGTAGAGTAGTTTCCCTTGTCGGGCACACAATATAGTTACACCAATACATTACGGTCTAGGATATAATACTGTTACAGTGAGTTTTGCTGGTGGTTGGGGAGCTCCATTGGCAGTCCTACTCCTTACTTTGCTTTTGTTGTTTGGGTCTGTCTGTTTTACTATTTCAAAGCAGTAGTTGACCATTATTGTGTCGGTGTGCTTCTCTTTAGCCAATCACACAAACAAAAATCAAAGCCGAAAACGCTCAGGCATAAACCAAGATTCCGCCAAGCCTCACTCTTTCCCCGCTTGTCCACAAAAGACGGCTCTGACACCGGCGTCTACGATGGCCTTGTACCTGGAGTTTGTGTTGTAATACACCACGGCGTTCAGCGCAGCGTTGAGGTACGCCAGTGCCCAGGAGATCGTTGTGATCAGGGAAAAGAGCTTGGTGTAGCCCTTGACCTCGTTGAACTTTGGCACGAGCTGCCTGACCGCCGAGTACAGCATGAAGGGCAGCGACAGCACCAGGAAGAGAACGGTGACCAGGATGACCATCTTGACCACTCTGTCGTCACGTGAGGCCTGGGAAGTCGCTCCACGGTCATGGGATTTTCGGAATTCGGACGAAGCGCGGAGTTTGGTGGCCAGGACAACGACGCAAACGAACATGGTTGTTATGGCAATCCACCATATTGCAGTTCGGTTCATGATATCGTTCAACTCGATGGCCTGTGGTCTGTCGGCGGTGTAGCGCAGACTATAAACAGTTCTGTTGTTGATGACGTCATACTGTGCCACAATCTCCTGGGTAATCAGGGTCGGAATTCGGGTGAGCACCGTGCTTACTGTGATCACCACAATACACACAACAGTTCTGGAGCGAGTGAACACACCCTTAAACTTAAGGGGGATGGCAACGCAACAGCACCGCACCAGCGCAATGAACACCGTGATCAACATAGACGTGTCGTAGAATATCACGGCGTACCAGTAGATAAAGAAAAGGATGACAGAGGGCTGAATGACCCACATGACCTGTCGGCCTAAGTTCGCTAAAACTAGAATATCGCACACCGCGCTCACAGAAGACAAAGTCAAATATGCTCCGTCAGACAGGGACAGAGCAAAGAAAGAAATGTTAACGGAATCTTTGAGTCCCATTTTGTAGAAGACGAGGATATTAAGGACGTTGGAAAACAGACCGAGAACAATGGCTGTTGGTCTAACTCCGTATAACAAAATCTGACCAAAAATGATGAACACGTCATGAGGTAAAAGCTCTATTGGGGCTGGAGAGGACCTTGGTCCAAGGGAACTGTTTGTTTCCATACTGCAAAGAAGATCTAGCTCAGCATCAAGCGTGACATAATATGATAATGAACGGGTTAACTCTGGTTAATAAGACAAGTCATTTTTTATCCACGGCTTTAAAGTACTTTTCAAATTGGAGTTTTTCTTCCTTGATATCAAAGATGCAAACAGTGTTCGAGTAGCTAGGGGTGTGGCTTTCTCTGTCTTTTCGGACGATCTGATTTTTCTAAAAACTAAATGTTTTAATAGTCGCCACAGGCAACAATTCGATCTACCTAAGGAAAAATTCCAATAGCCCTGTAGTCTAAATTCCTAACTTTCAAAGTAAACGTAACTACTATTTTATATCTACGTAAAGAAATCCATGGTAATGTAATTATTTGTTCGTTAATGTTGGCGTCTCGGTTTTTCCAGATTTTCTGTGAACCTTTTTTTCATTATTAGAACAATTAGTGACTTCACTTCCCATTTCTCGTTGGCGGACAAACCGTTCTGTCTTGTAAGTTGAGAGTATTAACTGTAATTGTTTGAACTAATATCTCAATTACATTTCATTTCTCTTGCCAAACGTGGTAATCACTGTTTAAAGTGTTGATTAAGTTTTAGTCTGTGTCAAAATGTGTGCTTATACCCCATTATTTTCTCTTGGTAGAAGTGTGGGGCTGTTAAAGGTGATAATTATGACTACTCAACAGTTACAATTACGTGTTCTTGCAAATCTGGACGATGGGATCAGTGTATTTTCTGACTATATGAGGTGTGATCAAAATGATAACCATTTCAACTCTCTGTCTCTGTCTCTGTCGCTGTCTCTGTCTCTGTCTCTGTCTCTGTCTCTGTCTCTCTCTCTCTCTCTCTCTCTCTCTCTCTCTCTCTCTCTCTCTCTCTCTGCGTGTGTGTATGTGTGTCTCTGTATAACGACCGAACTTGTTCAAAATTGCAGATGGCATTTACCATGCTCCGAACTGTTTGCCGCTTGGTTATATAATCTTTCAACCTAGAAAGTTTCACGACGTAACAGCAAATATTCCCGATTGTATAAAGAAAGCCAGTTCACCAGTGTCCTCGTTGGGCTCTTCGCCAATGTACGTAGATGTCACTTTGAATCCAATCTCGAGTGGGGGAGTCTCCTTCTTTTAGTTTGAATTCCACAGCGCTTGCAACACAAAAAAGTCATATAAATACCGAAGATTTAAGGCGTCACTACAGAGTAACAAACAGAAAAAGAGGAGAGATAAGGACGACAGATGTTTTGATAGAATAAAAGAATCGAAGTACGCCGGAGCACCCGTCAACCATCTACGAGAAGTTTTCATTAATATTTTATTTGTGTGTTGGGAGGTGAAATATCCCCTTATTTCTATCTGAATACTGCTGATACTGTGCTCACCCACCAGTGGCGCTGTGAGATAGCTAGATAGATAGATAGATAGATAGATAGATAGATAGATAGATAGATAGATAGATAGATGGATGGATGGATGAATAGATATATAGATAGATCGATAGATAGATCCGACAGGACCGAGCCAATACATGAGTGGAGAATTCTAGAAACAATAGCTAAAACAGCACCAAGACATGGATGCTGGAGCCTCTATAAATAAATTATCAAAGGTGAACCCTAAAAATTTCCCCAAAATAACCCAAGTTCAGATTCAAACCATCCGTAGTCCATCGTGATACCAGCTGAGCCGGACAGCGGAAAATTGCGCATGTTTTAATCCTATTGTTAAAAAGTTCAAAGCAGTTTTCCAAAACCCGTTGGAAAATTGCGAATGTATTTTTTGTATCGTGTATTTCTTAGGTTGCTCAAGTATTTAACATGAAGTTCTATAAGTATAAGTTTAAGCAGTAGACCTCTTCAGTTAGCCAAGAATCAAGACTAATATTTTATTTAATTGTAAATATATTTTTCCGTCCTTTCTCTGTCCTGAAAACCTCCATTTTAAGTTTCTTTTTGAGCGCGACTGAAGTGCTTAGGGAATAAACATTCATTTAAAGCCGCTAAATATTTTTAAACTCGCGCACAAAAGTTAAGGAACAAAATTCGAAGAAAGAGATCTGAAAAACAGTTGACCGAATTTATTCATTTTTTTCAAAAAGGTGCTTTCGAATCTCTAGATTAAGAGTGTACAATTTCAGATTTCAAGAACAACGAGAAATTCATGTAAAATGAGTTAAAGTTACACTGGTCGGCTTTTAAAAGTCTGAACAGCCATAGTTCTTCATGAACATTGTCAGTAGTGGGTGTAGCAAGCCTGTTTCATCAAACACTTAGTACAGCGTCGATGCATGCACAGGACATGCCTCAGGAGAACTTGTTGCGATATAGCCCGAGAGCCAGGTCTATATAAAGTAATAGAACCTTGTTTTTCATCATAAAGTTTTTTTCTTTGGAGATTCTGCTTCCTCGGGGTCTCTAGACTTCATATCAGTCGGGGGCCAACTTGTATCTTATGGGCATAATTTTTTCTGCTGGTTGAAATACACCAACCCGTATCATGTAAGAATGATGAAGGAGCGACTAGGGCTGGACAATGAGTCGATTTAGCAAAATCCGGATAACATGTTAGTATACCTCTTCGACAAATAATATGTTATGAACCGCTTCGGCAAAACCTCTTAGATAAACGGGTTAGCATTACTTCATCAACAAATGGGTACACCCACTTAGGCAAACGGGTCAGGAAAAAGAGTTTAGAGTCTGAATTCAGATAATATTTCATTGAGAATCATCCGGTTATCCGGATAGTTTTACCGGATTTTGCCCACCTGTACCATGTACGAGTCGACCAAGATTCGCGCGAGGGTACTAGACCTAATGCTAACAGCTTCTCTCGCCGTGATATCACATGATGCACCGAAAGGTGCACAGCATGGTCTGACTAATATGGACTCAGCTAGCAGAGCAAGGAGACATTGGCAGAGAGTGCTTCGTCACACCACACCTCCGTAGAAACAAAGAATGTAGGAAACCGCTACGTCACCACGAGGACACGATACGATCAGGCTGGTTCATGCAACATGCACATGCACACACACAGTGTCTCACTCAATTACTTTTACACACATACAGATGCGATAAAAAAAACCCACCGCTGATCAAATCGAGACGGATTAGTGGTTTTCTGGAAACAAGCCGGCAACGAGATGATGGACTCAGTCAGAGACTTCCAGAAGATGCTGAGTTTATACTGTGTCACAAGAACTGTATGAGCACACATTGTTACAGGGACCATATTAAACGATTTTTAATAAAGGGAAAGACTGAGGAACTTTCTGTAGAAGAATCCAAACGTCATAGGGGCAGTACTAGTTCGTTAAATTTTCATGAACATTGTTTTTTTGTGGAGAAGCATGCTCACTGATCCCCCGAAAACACCCAGATCGTTGGAAAAAGCCTACTTATGCCGAACTGGAGAGGAGAAAGGGAGGAAGATCACCAAAGAAGACCTACAAAAAACGTGCCAAGGAACGTGGGGACAAATGGGGAACGGATGTCAGCTTTCGTGTGTCATCAACAGTCAGTGATTTGCATTCAGCAGACGCTAGGTATCATAAAGACTGCCACTCCCGGTTCTACACAAACTATCCAACCCAATCAACCAGCTCACCTACAACGCATGAAGATGTCCTCAGTATGCTGGTTTTCGAGATTCGATGAAACAAATCACGCATGTGGAATAGAGTGAGAGTCCATGAACGCTATATTGAACTTGGAGGGGGGGGGGGGGGAGACAAATCGCGAGGTACACTCCTGAACCATGTATCTGAGAAGCTACACCCAGAATTGCTTATCCTGTCCTCACCAGGTGTGGCTTCCGTCATCGTCTTCAGAAGCACGGCTTCAGCCTAGATGCGTATTGTGAATGATGAAGAAGACTGCAATGGACGAGCCATATCATGCTTGGTTAGTGTGATCAAAGCAGAATGTCCAAAGCACAATCGTCATACGTCCCCAACTCGTCTGCCTAGGGGATTTGTCATGAATGAGTGCAGCCTTTGCTATCGGTCCTTGCAGCCACAGACCCCAAACTGGATTCTACACTGCCAGCAGCAATGATCGGCCACACTGTTACGAGTGCAGTCAGCAGCTATTTCACAAACTTGCAACTTGGGCTTAGTGTCCAGTTGAGTCGACAGAGGAAATTCAAAGACGAGCTTCATACGTATGGAGTCACCACCTCATACGACGAACTGAGGCGCTTTCGGTATTCAGCTGCCATTGCTATGGCATCTGTTCCACAAGGACTGGCCTTCTTTGACAGTAAACATGGACTTGTTCAAGTTGTAGCTGACAACTTTGACACGCAGATATCATCTCCAAATGACCAGAAATCAACGCACGGCTTACCAATGATACTGACACAAGCCAACACGTAGAAGTCAGAGCAGGTATGGGAAATGCAAGATATTCCTGCCATCAGGTGGCTCAGCAAAACAGAAACCAAGTCCGATTATCTGACACTTGGTGACGTTGCAGTTCAACGGTACACAGGAAACACGAAACCACTTATGCCGGAAGAACAGTGCCTGCGACATATCCCATCTCTGGTCTTTCTTTCCACACGACAGGTTTCTCTGAATAGAACTGCAACTAAAGATCTGTCATTTTTTAAACAGGCAATCGGCGAAGATGCAAGACCTGAGTATGGAGGTTATAACACACAACGTACCCGCAGTGCAGAACAACAACTCCAACCAAAGATAGATGTGGTGTACAGCCAATTCTTGGACATGATCCCATCTGAGCCAGACACCATGAAGACAGCAATGGTTGAAGCCAATGGTCTGACACAGCTCACTGGTCATGGATGGACAATATTCACCAGTGACAACCAGCTGTACAAAGAACTTGTCCACATCACATTGGTTGACAAGGAACAGTTTCAGAAGTTCATCCTAAGACTTGGTGGTATGCACATGCTGGGGAGTTTTGTTAGTGCTCTGGGGTAGCTGATGGGAGGAAGTGGCATTGAAGACATATTTGGCTCAGCATTTGTAGGGGTGCCAAA